TACCAGCAGCACAAATAAGGTGGCACAACAAATCCAAATAAATACCCCAAAAATGGTGCTCTTAGAATACTTATCGCAACAGTATTACAAAAAATAAACCTTGAAAATAATTATATAACAACCTAATAGTGCTGACAATCCACTCTATACATAAAATTAAATGTACCATGAAAGATGAGTATGTCTCAGGCTTCAACTCACATTTCCAAGATTCCTATCAATCATGGCTCTTATTAGGGGTGGCTTCATTGGTGAGGGCGATATACCTTTGTAGAAAGCTTAATGGGAAGAGACCAAAGAACAGAGGAACCCAGTGGTGCAGTATCACAGAAATGTAATACAAAATAATCACATACAAGAACTGCTTACTGGTGGGTTTCCCTGCTAGGTTCCCACTATTACACTTAGCTATGTATAAAAAACGCCAACCAGTCTTTTGTTCCGTGTTCGTCTCTGTCTCATAATGACGTATGTGCCTGACGCGTTTCGTCTGCCTCTTTGTATTACATTTCTTTGATAATATTCAATTAAAAAATAAATAAATTAAATTATTGAAATCTTCCCTTCACAAATATCAAACTAATTCCAGAATATTGTATACTTATTGTGGCATAATTTACATTACATATGTTAATATACATACATTTAGTAGCATTACTTAATTTCCATATTATGAAGAGAACAGAATGTGCTGGGATGACCTATAAAGGATATTGCTAGGATAATGTGTTTTTATTACTTTTCCTTCTAAAATGTATTTACATCAAGCATTCTCTGATGTTGCACACGCCATAAAATGTCTTTCAGAACTATATGTATGTTTGCTTTCATTATAACCTCTTACATGTGTGACTAACAGATAAATATAACTCAAACACAAATTATTAGTGTGGCTTTTAATACAGGTAGACGCACATAGTCATCTGTAGGTGTGCATGCAACACAGTTAATTATACAGTGATATCTTGTACAACTGTTCTCATCCATCTCGCTGTAAAAAGCAGTAATTCATTAAAATCTTGTCAAATTATCACAGAGTTCGGTTGGAGAAAATGGCTTGTAATCTTTACAGTCAATCAGCCATGACTTTGTGTTGACTGACATGACAATTCCCATATGTCTAATGAGTTTAACCATTGTGAGCTCAGACCTCCTGCTTTGTTTAATTGATCATCTTTTATTTTGTTTGACATTCCATAGACATCATGGAGGGATATATTTACAGAGTTCAACTGTTTCACGAAATGAGAAAAACTAATACCAGTGTGTTTCAATTGAATTATTAAAGCATTAACGGTAGATCAAATCTTTTCTAAATTCACCATTTATTAGGATAGGGTATTACTGACTTTACTCTGGAATGTAATAAGAAGTACAAATATTGCAAAATACAAAAGAAATATTAATGTTAGAATTTGTGAACGAGAAGTGCAATGAGAAAAGACAAAGGCGTAGAGTCCCTCAAAAATCGTTTATGCATTGTATAGAATGTAAAAATTGTCTATATCTTGCTTCGATTATTTTTAAATTGAACATGGATCACTTGACAATTATTTTTATAAACCTGCAAGCAATCATTTCTAAAAATATACCAACCAACATAATGTGAGAAATCTTTGAAAAGTATGTAATACAAAAATGTTTATAAACTTGCTATAAACTTGATCAGGTTGCATTGTTGGCCATGATCCTCAGCTAGGGGAGTTTCTTCAGCCTCCCCTCTACCTCTTATTTACCCATCTCAGTTTCAGGCCAGTCCACTAATGACAGAAATAAGGCATCATGTGCAGCTGCAGAAGATTGAAACCCAACACTAGAGTCTGCTCTGCATGATACAGTGGTCAGACTCCCTTTCTTCCCCCCACGTCAAGATGTTGCAACATGAAGAGATCTTCCAACTGCACATGTGTAAATCTGTCAGGCATGCCCAATGCACTTTTTCAGCATTCCTAAGGATAGCACATGGATTGGTTAGATCTGTGTCCCCCTTGGAGTGGGTGTGGAAAGCATAATAAAAAAGAAGCAGAGTGAGGCAACTGTGTAATTTAACGCTAAAACTTTGAATAAAACAATGATGCAAGCCAATTTAAATAAGATTAAGCAGTTTGTTTCCTTTTTTTGTAAAACACAAGTTGTATGTTGTCACATGTTCTTTGAGGTTTTTTTTTAGTTAAGATAAGATTAGTTTTTTTTTTATCAATGATTGTTTTGGCTTTGGAAATTAGAAAGCAAATCAAACATGACTAACTCCATCTTGAAACACTGACAAATCTTCAAATGCAATTTGCTAATAGACTTACTTTAAATTAACATTTATATTTTAAATATTAATTTGCATTACTATTTAAAACTGATTTATGGAAGAAATTTGAAGGTAACAGTGCCGCAATGATATGACAAAAAAAAGGTGGCTCATACCACAAATTGACACCCAGCATGAGCAGTAGTGAGGGAAGGCTTCCTAACTCCTATGTCTCCAGTGAACATTAACATTAGTTCAAACCATCCTTTTCATAGCCTTTCTGGACTCAACTCCCAGCCTGTGATTGAAGGAGGAAATGTATATACAACCTGCAACCAGGAAGCCCAGATATTAAAAGCAAAATCCAACTTTTTTATATAAGAAATATTTGTTAGATGCAGCCACAAAGAAATGAGAACATTGTCATATGTTCTGTCTATAAGGCTGATTTTTTACATCAGTTCAATGCTTCAATGCCTACTTGGATCTTACAAATATATTGCGTTTGGGTAGCGCCCTGGTAATGAGTTCATTATGTTAAATATAGGAAGAATGCTGGTCACGCAATCCTTACATTCATTGAAGTGCTTGAGGTAAATATAATATGATCTTGGGAAGCCATATAATATTTCACTAAAGTCATTAAATAATAAACAGTGTTCTACAACACGCCATAACAATCCATATTGTGGGTATAAGTCACTTATCTGATTAGCAGCCCAGTTCCAAGTTCACAGGTTCCCAGTACAAGGTTTTACTTAAGGCAATTTTAAACCAGAGTACCAGATGAAAATATAAAAATGTTTGTGACAAATAGAGGTAAAATATGGTGTTTGGTCTCCTGTGGAATGGTGGTAAAAGATTGGATGAATGAATTAACTGCTGTGGGACATGAGAAATTTATAACATCTTCATTTTATTCCTCAGATTCACTGCGTCTAGCTGTGCAAGTGCTGTGCTGAAAACAGAGCGTCCCATAGTGCACTCAGTGAACATGAAGCTGTAATACTGAGGTGGACACTCATACTCAGTGAGTATAATCTCTGCCGTGCTTTAAAATACAAAGCAAAAGTCAGTGTGTATGCATTAACTAAAATATAAGAAAAACTAAAAAACAAACAAATGAAATGAAATCTAAATAAAATTAGAAGTTGTTGTTAAAAAAACTGCTAAATCTTTTTTTTATATAATTCTTTATTTTTGTTGTGCATTGTTGTATCACAACAATTTGTTCGATATTGAAAATGACAAAGATGTATACAGGAGTATAAGAGATATCAAAGCATAGACTGCACAATTTTATATATTAGCCAAGCTGCCAAAACACAGTGCTACTATGAGATAATTGTAGATACAAATATCCATCTCACTATCTATCCTAGCTGTTCATATAAGGGTTAATTTAAACTTAAACTTGTATCTTCGATTCTGGGAAGAATTTATCTAATATCATTTATGAGAATAACCATACTGATTTCGAAATGTTCTTGTTAATTGTCCAAGATTTTAATATTTGTAAATATCTGTTTTTTATCAAATATACATGTGTTATATAACGTAGGATAACGAGAAACAGCTGCTCATAACTTGTGAAAAACAATCTATGTCTTGCCCCTCCCATCCTGCTATGAAAACGCGGTATAAATATAACTGACGTATGAATAAAATTTGAATTGGTTATTGAACACGTCTCTGCTATTCATTTCCAATTTCCAGAGCTCTGAATGAGTTGGCAAATATCCATCATCTACAAAGGGCCCAGGCTGATTTTATCCCCAACAAATTGGTGTCAGAAGTTTTGGGTTGCAATTGGACGGAACGGAAATAACAGGTAAGGGGATAGCGTCTTTAAAGACCTTCTTCTTTGCCTGCTTTTCTCATCCTCCACACTTTGCATATTTAAAAAAACTTTTTTAAAGGGGATTTTCACTGCATAATGTCTTTGATAGACATGATTTTTTTTTAAGTCTAAGGTAGACTTTTATTACTCCTTGGGTTGGAGGAAGCCTTTGGCAGGCAGTATTGTGCTCAATTGTCTATGGTAGACAATTCCTCTTTGGTAGGGGTTAACCTTTGGCAGGTGGTAAAAAGATTTTCAAGCCTTTGGAAGGCTGTCATGTAATGTAATGTACATGTACATGTGGGTTTTGCAGACTAAAATGGTTTCAAATAAAAAAATATTTTATTAAAAAAATATTTTAAATTAAAAAAAAAGGGGGGTTAAAAGGTAATATTGTTTAAACCCTGTATGATGGATGTTTGGCATTACTCCAGCTTGCTACTTTATGTACTATTTTATGTAACTGTGCAACTCTGATTTTAAGCATAAAGTCTTAATTGAGGGAATGTCAAAAGTACATGTAAAGGTGATGATGAATAAGAGAAAAAAAATAGAGGTTAATTAAGGGAGGCTACAAATTCTAGAACTAACATGATTTCTCTGCATGTATGTTTGTTTGCATAATTAGCCCTTTATTTTTATACTTGGACAAAAGTACTATAAGCCCACTACACTTTTTCATGAGAGTGGGATGTAGTAAAGGAGTTTAAGCATGCGTGGGATAGGCATAAGGCTATCCTAACTATAAGATAAGGCCAGGGACTAATGAAAGTATTTAGAAAATTGGGCAAACTAGATGGACCGAATGGTTCTTTTCTGCCGTCACATTCTATGTTTCTATGTTTCTATGATTGTTTATATGATGAGCCCTTTATTTTCATATTGGGACAAAAAGTCCCTTCATTCAAAACGTCAAACACCACATTCTTTCTGCCCTGTGTGTTTGTTGCAGAGAACTTATGTTGTAAAGGTAGATGATTATAAATTAGAGAGCAAAATTTTTTAATTTTTGGTTATGGAATGTAGGATCAGAAAACCATGGACAAAGGTTTTTACCTGTCTTGTTATGACTTTTGGGAATTCAAATTGACCGGTCAAAATTTTGCCATGCCTTTAACATGGAGTAGTATAAATATTTTGAGTCTTTGAGCGTTCTGACAAATGCAGGTGATACCATGTCTGTGTAATCTGGTCCAAATGTTCTATAAGCATATAGGAGAGAAATTCTATTGACAGGGTAGATATGTTGCAACTGGTTAATTCAAGTGTTATACAAATGTTTAAGTCAAACGCGTTATATGGCCGTATGGGATCCCTTCTTTAAAAAGAAACTCTTAAATAAATTTGACACAAACTAAAATTGGTATACCTTACAATAATATGTTCTGAATACAGCTGTTAAAAGTTTATTCTGTGTAAATGGTGACTGTGATAAATGTGTGTTTTGGTTACTCATTTTGAAGTAATTGTCATTAGTGATGTCCCGAACGGTTCGCTGAACAGTTCGCTACGAACGGTTCGCCACGGTTCACCACGAACGGTTTGCCGCGGACTCCAGTCAGCAGACACATTCCAGCCAATCAGCAGCAGACCCTCCCTGCCAGACCCTCCCACCTCCTGGACAGCTCACTAAGAATGCAGCTTCAAAATGGATGCTGTCCAGGAGGTGGCAGGGTCTGGGAGGGAGGGTCTGCTGCTGATTGGCTGGAATGTGTCTGCTGACTGGAGTCCGTGGCGAACCGTTCGTGGCGAACCATGGCGAACCGTTCGCGAACGTTCGGGAACCGTTCGGGACATCACTAATTGTCATGTATGTTAATGGGTATTTGGCTGTGTTATTTTAAATTATATTTGAATAAGTTTGTCTCAGTATTGATACAGATGGAAATGGCAGTGTAATAATCTATTAAATGACTGATTTATTATTGAATACTAGTCCAAGAGCAATATGAGTTGTAATCCTTAAAGCAAAAGAAAAAAACCTTACACTGTTTTTGTAAGTTTTAGCTGATTTCCAAAATTCTGTTGCAACAATGGACTTCTTGCCAAAATTCGACTTTCCTGTCCAGTTGCCAGGTTCTCTGATCTAATCTTAAGGCCGTACTGCTTGCATAGTTTGCAGAAATGCATAATGCACAAACATCGGAACCTACATTATGTCTGTGTTTCTTTCGAGTGTGACGTTTATTAATTTATTTTTGATTGAGTTAATTGCCTGTCCATGAATATGCTTTTTGTATTGGCATGTCTGCTGGATATCTGCTACATTCGTTGTGTTCTGTGTTATAAGATGACATGTGTGATATTACAATGATAATGAAGAATATTTAAAGAATATTTGCATGTCATTAACGCAAGCCTTTAGTGTCTTTTTACAACAGATTAAAAAACGCTCATCAGCCGACAAGAAAGAGGCCCCTGGAAAAAAAAAAATCATCTGCTTTTTAAAATCGTGGATCCACGTTTCCATTAGGGGAGTATTTAGAGTTAACTCTACTTTTAAAGTGCATTGCATTATTTAAGTCAAAGAAAAATAAAAATGTGTTATCTTTAACATAAATAATTGTTATGTTATATGGTTATATAAGAAGAAAAAATAATGGATGTATAGGCTAAGTTTTTTCCAAGATTAAAATTCATCTAGTATGCCTCATTGATTATAGCAAAATAATGAAATGGTATTTTTAATAGAGATCAGACAATTTCTTTTGAGGCAATTCTAAACTACTGTATTATATTTGTATTGGTATATTGAAAGCATTTTGCAGACCCAGAAGAGAATAAATAATATAATAATTATAAAACGAATTATACTATGGGAAGAGGTCACCCTATTAACTCGCTAAGGGGTTAAACTCATTTTTGATAAGCATATAAAATTTAGTTTTTGTGGTTAGACTTTTGATACTCAATTTGAACTCTTTTGAAGTATTACAACCATATCCTTGCAGGTATAGGAAACAGCTGCAATATGATTTTAATATTTGCAATATATTAGTGTTTTCAATGTATTCTGACAATGGAAAAGTACCTTACCGCATGTCTGCATTACACCTATGACCCAGACTGTCAGTATTGCAAACCCTATATTAAGACTCTGCTTTCACTGTTTATGTATACACCCCTAGACAACCGTGCTATACATTATATCTGTGTGGTAAACAAAGAGGGGTACACAAAGAGGGGGGTGTGAGTTAGGTAATCTCGACCTGCAAATGGAATATGCTTCCTCCTTGTTCACTTTTGGTCAAACTGTTGGTCTGTGACTGGCCCTCTTTGACCCCAACTGAATTTTTTGGGAAGATTCATGAGAAAGATATAGCAAGTTGTTTTGATATAAAGAAAGAAGGAAACGAGTATGTTGTATCAATCACAGGGTTTCCAGCATTGTGACCCTAAGCAGGTGAGACAAAGAAATTTGGGAGGTAATAGGAGATTGAATCTGAAAAGTTTTAGAGGCAGAGGTAGAGGATTTGATCAAAGGGTCTAACTTTTGTAGAGGTGGCAACTTCAGCACTGTTTTAATTGTGGATAGCAGGGGTTCACCCCAAGGTGCTCGTGGTAAACCCGGTTCTCCTGGTCAAGCTGGCCCCACTGGTACTCCTGGTATTGCTGGTGCCCCTGGCTTCCCTGGTGCCCGTGGTGCTCCTGGACCTCAAGGCCCCAGATGTTCCCGTGGACCTAAGGGTAACAATGGTGAACCTGGTGCTCAAGGAAACAAAGGAGAACCCGGTGCTAAGGGAGAACCTGACCCAGCTGGCATTCAAGGACTCACCCTGGCAGGTTCCTCAATACCAACCACAGCTTCCAACCTACACCCACACCCAACAACCCCAGCCTAATACACAGATGGTTCATGTTTTTAATACTTCATATATAGTTTTGAGTGATAAAACAGTATTAATGCTGGCTCTTAGAGGATGTACAAGCTGAAGTTGGGACCTAAACATTGTTGCATAGGCTGCGCAATGTGAAATAACTAAAATAAAATAGGATAATAATAAGTATGCTTGGTCAATTTGTAACGTGTTATCATAGAGGCATCTGCAATAAAATAAGTGGGTTTCCAAGACCTGACAAGTGAGGGCATATTAATATAACATATGTGTACAGTTTGCTGTCCCTTCCTTATCAGAGGCCACTTGCAACCTTAACACAGCAAGACAACTCTTCCGAAACCTGTATTATACAAAGAACTTTAGAACAATAGTAATTCATTTTGTTTCTTCTATTTCATTCCTAGTTGTTCTAAAAAAAAAAAAAAAAGGATTGTTTAAGTGGGATAACTGTACAGTATTAAAATATGATCATGCACATACAGAACTGTTGGCTTTTTGGACATAGGGATCTATAAAAGGTTTCAGTTTCAAAGAAAACTTATTGGGGTCCACAAAATTTTTAGACTTTAGCATTCCAATTTTATTAAAGTAAATAATTGAGATTATCAAATCAAGGTTTAAGTTTAAGAACAGCATTTTATTGGAAATTATTCCAATATGTATATGTTAGTGTTTTAGTACTCAGCAAGCATTTATATAGAATGAGTGCTTATCTCATCCATACAAAGGCATTCTAAAGGGATATTATGTATTAAAATTTTATAAAGGACAAATTCAATGAAATATAAGCAACACTGAGATAAGTACATGTTACACTAGTTAAGGGTTTAACTTTAGTCTCTAATTTGAGTTTAGCCTAGATAATTAATTTATCGATGTCGTACTGATCCTTGTGTTTGTATGATTATAGAGACCATACTGGAGTATTTGTGCCGCTTGATATTTGGGACTACACACCAATCTCTCTGGCTGACCTACCTACCTACCTTTTTGCGATTAAATTTGTTTGGTCAAAATCCATGCTGGCCAAAGAAACTGAGATGCTTACTTATGAGGACATAAACTAACTTGGAAAGTCCTGAAGGTGCAGTGCTGTCTAATGCCGCTATTTCTGTATTGACCCTTTCAACAATTGGGGTGTTGCACAGAGCATTGGGGTGAACATCCAGCAAACAGAATAATTAAGAACTATGTGAAAACTGACATTGTCTTGTTGTCAGCCATATTGCTATCCTTAGCTATGTTATGGCGTCTAAATTATGGAACAAAGTTTATGGTGTCTAAGATTCTTTATACTCATTGAAAGACTTATTCTATTTTTCTGGACTATTGAACTATTTTGTTATTTTTATTTTTGTAGAGTTAGCCGGAGATAGAGGAAGTGTTAGCTTACTCAGGCATGGATGTACTATAATAACAGAAAAAAAAGAAGGATAGTGCGTAGGCGCTTCACTGTAATTTTGACAATTCTGTATATAGTATAAAGTATACAATAGATGGTGTAACCGGTACCCTAGTGCTTCCCTTATACACCAGATTTACATAATACAATAAAAAGAGACAAATACCAGTATATACACCTCCCCAATGTGATCACAACAAAAATAAGTGATATTACCAATATAGAACTGGACTGTAATGTAAACAGTGTAGAACTTGATTGGGGTATAAACTAAAATAGAAAAAACATAAAAAACATAGTGCAAACTGTATGATAATAAATAAGTGATAAATAGGTATGTGATTCTCACTCACATTCTCCAGAGCCGTACCAGGCTCTGTATAGCAGGCTCAGGGGTGCCAATAACTGGCTAACGATCCAGGTGGTCCAAATAGATGAGACTCCAAAGGTTAAATATAAAATATATTTATTTATAAAAATATATAAAAAAGTGTATACACTGCTGGGCACTATGGGGGTGGAACCCAAAACAGACAAGGATATATATAAAACAATAATGGAATTCCACTTACCCCTATCTGTATAGTAGCCCAGAGTGACAGAAATACACATAAAATAACAAATACAAATGCAGAAGATTGAAGCAGACGCGTTTCGGCCAACAGCCTTCCTCCAGTGCTTGTCTTCATGTCCTATTGAGTCTTCTTTTATAAGTCTTATCTGTCCCATTCACCTGGATCCAATTTCGTACCGGCGTCGCGTCACTTCCGGTTTCGCGGGTGACGTCACTTCCGGTTTTTCGGCCGGCTGGAACGCACGCTGAAACGCGGCGTTCAGGATGTAGATTGTTATGATTAAGTCCCCATAGCAACCTTAGCCTCCATATTTGCAAAATATCATAATAGAATAAGAAAAAACACAAATTAAAGATATAATCTATATATAGCATACACAATACAGATATTTGATAGCTATCATCAATCTCTTTATATCTAGAGAAAAATTTAAAGATGTATAAGATAATCTATTCTTAGAAAAATTAGAAAAATTATACAATGCAATATGTGGCCATAGAACTCCCCACATAAATACCAATTAGACAAGAAGCAAGTATAACCTTCTAAATCTAATAGTTCAAATAAAGTAAATACTATAAACAATATATAGATCCTATAAAAAATGTATAAACTCAAAATCTAAATTCAATCCCTTCGGGGATAGGGTATTAACATCAAAAATCCACTTACCCTCTATCTTCGCTAGCTCTTTAACATTATTATCTCCCCTCCAATTCTTAAATTTCTTAAAAATAACAGTATATGACAGTAGGGAGGAATCCCCACCATGTTTCTCAGTGAAGTGTGCCGATACACTATGTTTCATATACCCCCTCTGGATATTACCCACATGCTCCGCAACCCTGGTTTTAAATGCCCTGGTGGTCATTCCAATGTATTGCAGACCACATGGGCACCAGAGGAGGTATATGACATTAGTGGAATTACAGGTTAGAACCTGATGAATTTTAAATGTGCGATTAGTAGAGTGAGAGGTAAATTCTGTCTGTTTATGTTTATCAAATATTGTTCTCTTACAGGCTAGACAGGATTTGCAGGGATAAAAACCCTTTTCTAGTCCAAAGAAGTTTTTCTCTTCCCCTTTATCCCTAATAAAACTTGTAGTTAGATGTTGTTTTAAGTTTTTTGCCCCTCTATAAATAATACGTGGCCTATCACCAATAATTTCTCTCAGATTCGGATCTAGTTTAAGGATACGCCAGTGTCTATTAATAATATGCTTAATTTGCTTGGCATCTTCACTATAATTCAAAATAATTGGTACCTGGTCTGCACCCTTCTTCTCCTCCCTAGGTATCCTTTTCTTCAGAACCTTACTTCGGTCCATCTTCTTAATGGAATTAATACAACTATCCAATTCCTTGGCGTCATATTTCTTCTCTACAAACCTGTCCTTCAAGCAAACTGCCTGAAAAACCGGAAAAAAAACTTCCGAAAAACCGGAAGTGACGTCACCCGCGAAACCGGAAGTGACGCGACGCCGGTACGAAATTGGATCCAGGTGAATGGGACAGATAAGGCTTATAAAAGAAGACTCAATAGGACATGAAGACAAGCACTGGAGGAAGGCTGTTGGCCGAAACGCGTCTGCTTCAATCTTCTGCATTTGTATTTGTTATTTTATGTGTATTTCTGTCACTCTGGGCTACTATACAGATAGGGGTAAGTGGAATTCCATTATTGTTTTATATATATCCTTGTCTGTTTTGGGTTCCACCCCCATAGTGCCCAGCAATGGATGTACTATGTGTGTCATTGATGTATGTTGAGTGTACCAAGGATGGATTCCCATGTATTAAGTGTGGATATGACTGGACCGTCGAAATAGGGATGTGATTAGGAGACATAGGATGCAAGGTCATGACTGGGATTATTGTTAGAATTTCAAGCTGATTATAAGTTCTCATGATTTAATATGTAAATTGGCCTTTTCAAACTAATCAAGAAGTGTTTCCCAATCCCGATACCCGAGCTATTTACTTACAAGTGCAGGTTTTATAAGTCGCTAATGCTGTCAACGTGAGGGGATGACATGTCTACACAGTCATGGCCCCCACTCACGGTTTCCCCAGATGTGTTTTTTTTCTCAAATATGAGTTTTTGCCACTGGGGTTTTTTGACCTGGCCCCAGATCACTGGGTCGACTGGTAATCCAAGACCCTGGTCCAAAGAGGGGGATAGATATTATTCCCGTTTTGACTATATGAGCTTACATTATGAATTAGAATAATAATAATATTCCCGTTGTTGGGAATAATACACTTTGCCTGTATTGACCCAAGGCTCAAGCTAAAGATAACGTGATGGTCAGTCTGTTTAAAAATGGTTAACATGTCAGCTGTTTGAAATATTTAACTTGTACGCTTAAAAGATGTATTCAACAGATAATTGAAAAAGCTGAAAATTGACAGCTCGAACTCCTCTTAAAGGGAAAACCTATGGCACAGAGCAAATGGGGGAAATCGAGGTGAAGAAATAATGAAAGTCCCGCAGACGTGATTAGCACGTCTGAATATGCCTCCTTTTGTCTCTCTGCTGCAGGCCTCCCATGGATATTTTCCGTAAGGTACATCATGATATGATCTAAGAGGGGAATTGTAGATACAAATATCGATCTCACTATTTATCCTAGCTGTTCATGTAAGGGTTAATTTAAACTTAAACTTGTATCTTCGATTCTGGGAAGAATTTATCTAATTTCATTTACGAGAATAACCATACTGATTTCGAAATGTTCTTGTTAATTGTCCAAGATTTTGGTATTTGTAAATATCTGTTTTTTATCAAATATACGTGCGTTATATAACATAGGATAACGAGAAACAGCTGCTCATAACTTTTGAAAAAGAATCTATGTCATTGTCATCATTTTTCCCTCTCCCATCCTGCTATGAAAACGGGGTATAAATATAACTGACATATGAATAAAATTTGAATTGGTTATTGAACACGTCTCTGCCATTCATTTCCAATTTCCAGAGCTCTGAATGAGTTGGCAAATATCCATCATCAACAAAGGGCCCGGGCTGATTTTATCCCCAACAATAACAAGAGGGTGAACAAGGTAAAATGCAGGCTTGAAGCACTGATTGCATAACTGTAGAATGAATAAGGGCAGAGTGCCCAAGAGAAAACATATTCCAGCTCAACTAATGGGAGGTAGCACTAAGAGAAATTGTAATAGAGAGCTGGGTGCTTAACTGAAAATTAAAATTACTGCTCAGTAGTAATAACACTAGCCAACAGGGTTAGATAAACAAAAAGGGGAACTTTGTTAAAGCATGGCATCATTATTAGCAAGAGACAAGAGTCAGCCAACCCCCTTTAGAGGTATAGGACAGTCCTGCTGTCGTCTGACTGCCAGTAAGCTCCACGACTCAAGTGGTGGCTGGTGTGAAATCCAGGCTTCAAAGCCATTAAGGCCTGGCGATGGTATTGGTAGCTCCCGCTGTGTGTCCGTGTTCCGGGCCAGTATTCAAGCAGGTCCGCAAGGGCCGCAGCCTCTATGTGTGCGATACACACACTGTGACCGCCTTTCCATGCTGTCCCTTCAGCTGCCACATTTCGCAGGTCCGCTTAGGATGTGTACTCCTCCCTCGACTGTCAAGCTGTCACAGACTTCAGTCCAGCATGTCCAAGAAGTCAGCGAAGAGCCACTCAATTTTGCAGGTAAGTTCTCTGCTGCTGTCTGCTGGACATGAGGCATTCACCATTTTAAAGAGAGAGTTCTTGTTCATTGCTGGGATATAGTAGCATTTTTAAGTGCAGACGGGCCCCTAAGGCAAGGACCGGGATTACCCCCACTGGTCCAGAGTGGTGGGAATGAGACTGGAATAACAAGACATCACAAGCTTGTTATAGAGCCACAAGGCAGGATAGCTGGGCAGCGGCCGTCAACCCCACTCACCACCCATCTAGGTCTCTAGTCTCATGGTGCCGAAATGCCTTTCCAAGGGCCAGAATTTAGTGTAAGGGAGTTGCTTCAGTTTCAGCACTGTTGTGTACATCGGACCGCTGCTCTTAGGCTCCAGGTAGGCAGGCTAGTCGTTGGTTTTGCAAGATATTGTCCCAAAACAGTGGAGCTGATTGTCTATGCAACTGTTCACCTTAGGAGTCCGGCCTCACCCCCAAAAAACTGCTAAATCTTAAAAGGGGGGAAAGCCTCACTAAATGGTTAAAAACACACTCAAAGGTAAAATGGTAGCGCTAATAAATTACAAATAAATAGGAAATGACTGGAAGTAGGGAATGAATGCCCTTTAGAATCCAGACCAGGCTTATCCTTAACTAAGAAAATTAAATCATAGTAATATGCACATTACAATAAATACTACAGGTCACTTAGTCCACCCATCAGACTTCAACAGGTCGGTAACAGAGCTCCTGTACTCCGGTTAACTTCCTCTGATAGGATGGCTTCCTCACTGCAAACAGGGTGGAACATGTCAGACCCATTAGCCGAAGCTCCACTAAGGGTCTTTGGATACCTCTTCCTTGGATCAGGCAGCCGTGGTTATTGCTCCCTGAAGAAGGGATATATATCTGCAGTGGTGAGAATTCTGGAGACTTTCTCTCTTGTAAAACAGTGATTAAAGCTTTCCCACACACATTATTCAAAGCTGTTTTTAGGAGAGTAGAATGCATTTTTTTTGCACACAACACAACTATTTATAGACAGAAATGTGGATTCCCACACCAGGGGGGCCTCCATACAAGTCAATGATCCTTACAGTGGTCCCACCCCAATGCCACTATGTCCTGGTTCTTGATTGCATGATATCCAGCTAACAAGATAGACACTCTGCTGTTTCTTTTCAGACCTAGAGGCAAGATGTACAAAATGTCAGCCAGAACCCCCTTTCCATGGACAGCACCACCACATATTATGTGTCCTGGATAGGTAGTCAATAATAGCCCTCACTGTCCAAATAATGCCCTGATTGGAGAATCCACGCCCGAGTAAGACTGCATTAAAGTTTTACCATTCTGTGATTTAACACAGAGTTCCAGGCATGTGGTCTCATAAAATGAGAAATGTGGCTCTGGGGAGGACACAAATATATGTCCCTGGATAGCTCATTACTGGGCATTCTCACTGTCCAAATAACACCCTGATTAGAGAATCAACACCCAAGTGGCAGCATGTTAACCTTATAAAGGGTTGCAACTATTCTCCTATCCAGAGCAGAGTTCCAGGCGTGCGGCTGGTTATTACCCATCTCACAAAATGGCGTTCCTGAAGCTCTGTGGATGAAGGCACCCCAACACATTTTATGTCCCTGGATAGCTTTTCACTGAGCACCCCTAGTGTCCCAATAGTGCTCTAACTGAACAATACCCAATCAAAGATTCACCAGATCATGGCACAGTCTTGATCTGGTGAACAGTTGCAGAGTATTTCAGGGTATTTCTTGGTCAGGTGGTTGATGTGCAGAACGATATCCAGGTGATCACCAGAGGTCCCCCATTTGTGGCTTCGAGGCATAATAAGCATCTCGGGGGTCTTAATAACCCCTTCCCATAGTGACAATAGTCCCTTTTTTGTCCTCTATGTCCATGTTGGGATGGGATTCTGGGACAAGGTCCTATCATTGGAGCCAGTGAAGCTTATCTTCGTGGAGTAGTGTGTGCCGAGTCTCTACAAGTACCTCGGCATACAAACTTGCAATATGGGTAATTCTCCTGGGGCAGTACTAAAATCATAGAAAAATCCAAGAACAAGCCGTGTTCACAGTAGGCACTGTAACCAGTAACAAGTCCCGCCACCAATTAAAGTGTTTAGCTGGATAAAGTGCTGAGTGCAGTCTTTGCTTCATGGTATCAATATAAGTCTTCACAAGTTACACCAACCGGCCAATTCCTGTGGGTATTTGCATGAATAGATATGCTCCTAGCATTTCTTCTTGACTCTGACACTCCTTGAAGATAAGTGTTACTGGCTCCGACAACAGGACCTGTTGGTGTGCCGGTGGATTCAACTCTGGTGAAAACGTTAACTGTAGGACTTATTGTAAAGTGCATATTATGATGATTTGATTTGCTTATTTAAGGATTTGAGTGTGGTCCAGTTTCTTAAGGGCAGTTATTTCCTATTTGAGTCTTTTTATATTAATATTTGTTGTAATAAAGTGTAATTTTCCATATAAGTTAGTAACATTACCTTTTTTCCCTTTTACTGTATTACTTCCAAAAATGTGTCTATTATATTAGATAGCAGGCACAAAGTATTTGGCAACATAAATGATATACTATTGATTATGGGTGAATAATATCCAACTTTCTCACCTGCAAAATGTTTACCTCTTTACAGATTATTTATTATTTTTACTATTATTTATATAGCTCCAAAGTTTCCACAGTGCATTGCATTTCTACAGTGAGAAGCAGACTGCAAATAGGAGATGAATAACAAGTATTTACAGGAACAGAAGTGGAAGAGGGACTAGCTAAGGGAGCTTACAATCTAGAGAATGAGATGTGTATGAACACACCAGGTATAAAGCATGTATTAATAACTAATTAGATGTGTAGGACTGCTGTAGAGGGATTAGTGACACTATGAGCCAGACAATGGGGCCACTAAATGTTAAGGGAGGCAGTCAGGTTTACCCAGGGAGATGACTGGCATGCCTGAAATAGTTTAGAACTTATTTAACTTTTTTTTTTTTTTTTTTACTAAATCACCTCTCGAGTTGAGTTTGTTTATTTAGGATTGTAGGAGGATCAGAGTCAAAATTCTCAAAATATTGTCAAAAGAAACTGCATAAATTAACCTGGTTACACCCCCTGGATGTCAATCAGACAACTGGTCCTGTTACTTCCTGGTTTGTTTAGCTCAGACAATTCCCCAGAGCATCTGCCTTGCAAAGACTTATCATTGAGCTACATTGGGAAGTGTGTAACAGGACAGCCACAGAAAGACTTCGGTCAGGGTGAGGGCTTGCAAAGGCTGGAGACAAGAGATCTGCAGCTTTTACAAGCTGTTTTTAGATATACCCCCAGTATATCTAGAGAAAAAAACATTCATAATTAAATGCATACATTATTCCATTGGGTTATATCTACTAATCAGTTATTTTTTTAAATGTTTTTTTATATTTGGGTAGTGGAGTGTCCTTTTAACTTGTGTGAGAGAGATTTTTATTTATCTGTATAATGTTACTGCATTCTATCTTTAAATAAATAAATAAATAAATGTACATTTTACAGCAAATCAATGCATCCTTTTCCCCTAAAAAAAGATCTTCTATAAAAATTAAGAATTTCGAAGCCTGACTTTTTTTCTAATTCTATAATGTTGTTCTTTAAAATTGTTAAAATGTGAATTGTATCACACGACATATGGAAGAGCTGTAGCCCCCCTGGAGAAAACCAAAATCAAAACAGTAACTGAAAAAGTAGAAGTATTATTTTTTTTTCTCATAGCCCACGTTACCAGTATACCGGGAGATTATGCATACATGTGTTTTATGACTTGTGTGTTCAAACACCGGAGAGCATTTACATTTAAAAATATAGACATGATTTACAAATGTATAAAAATAAACAGAAAAAAAGTCTTACTATTAAACCGCCATTACTCTTGGGCAGCAGCAATGACCGTGTATTTGGCCAAATACATAAAACGAAACAAATTAACCTGCGCACTATTCCAAATCCATACGCACATATCAATAACAAAGGTTTTTAGTAGCACTAAAATGGACTATTCAACTCTGACTTGTAGCAAATTTGTATCTGAGAGATATAGAAAGCATGTCCATCACAGCTACAGCCATAGCCGTAGAGTTGTTTTAGTTTGAATTGTGTTATTCACCTATCAATGTTCAGCAGTTTGAAGCTTATATAAGTAAATAATATCAGCAGAATTAAGTTGGATAATAATGACAGTATGTAACTGAAAACTAGCAAATGCTTAGGTCCAGGTTATCTACTAACTGATATGATGTTGATACGTAGAGTGTTTTACCTCTCCTGTACATGTGGGTGACTGAGTGGATTTCCGGGCTTTTTTTCAATAAACACAGACATGTGTTGCCAAAATATATGCAAAAATAGCTGATTTAGAAATTTGTTTTTCAAAATTTCCTACAGTGTGAGAAGTAATTAAAAAACTCCTCGGTGCTCAGATCAGTGATATCCACTGCAGCTGCTTCCTTATTTGCTACTGTGAATGTGTGAGAGTTTTTTGTGCTTTTGACAAGTACTGTTCATCTTTTGCTTAAGAAGTGATAGTGAAATATATTTAAGAAAAATAATGTTAGAATTTTTTAAAGATGTTCGGGTGCTGCATCAACAAAATTTTGAAATAAAATAAGATTATTGATGTGTTCTAAATCAAACTGGATATATGTCAGTGCATATAGATCTATCGCCAGGCTACACATGTTACTGTGCCTGCAGAGCATTGTACTGTAAATAGCTCTGCACAGTGAAAGCGGAGCATATTATCCAATGTAGGTATCTCACGTAAGTTACATTGCATGCATTTAACGTAAACCATATTCCAGCTTCACTGCCTAATGCAAAAAAGAAAGATAAATCCATGAATTTTTACTGAATAATCAATGCATAATTCACCAACAGGCAGTATATGGTAAAGCCTATCACTTTCTTCTTCAATCTGGGCTAGAAGTCTTCACAGATGTCTTTTTTGCTTTCAAATAAGCATAACCCTGGCTTTGCACAGGGATGTGAGATGGTTAGGCAAAGGTAAATATCTGAAAAGATTTAGTGATTGGCTACATGAAATACGCCAAAAATGGCGTGAGCGTGAAATATTAATTTTACAAAATGACATCCTCATTAAATGTAGGTTGTCAGCGATGTTTAGAATATAATGAGGGATGATATATATATAAAAAAATATTCAGGAAATGTGCCATGCACCTAAAATCATATTTTGGATCCACTTGCCTTTGTAAGTCAGTGTACCCACACACAAGACCAAGTACACATCTACAATGACTGACGATCACCTGGGTGCTTACTTGAGATTAAGAATCAGCAATTATTGTAGCTATACAAATAGAATTTCAGGCAGTATTCCACTCAGTAAGAGGGGAATATTAAACACACTGTGCTGTAGGATCTGATTGAAAATGAAACTTTTTTGTTTTCATGCAGGCTGTGTCAGTCTCAGCCAGGGGATGTGTGGCTAGGGATGCATAAATAAAGGCAAAGTGATTTAACTCTTGAATGGCCCAAAACTGAGCAGTGCAGGGGCATGATCTATATACCAAAACCATTAAGCTAAAGTTGTTTTAGTGCTTTAGTCGCCCCTGAAATATACACAGACAATCTAACACATCACTCGTTATATTATTTAAAGATGATATATAAAAATACAAACAGTGCAAGACTAAATTATGGGTCCACAATCACCTTCACCCAAATGAATCATAGGCTTTGTTGACCCATTAGTCAGATAAATAGCTCAAGCACTCTATCTAATTACATTTTATGGGAACTTGTTTAGATTGATTTTCTTTTTTTAAGTTACAAAGTTAAGTCACTATTGGGTACATATCAAGCTGTGACTCTGCGGAAATGAAAAACATTTTAGTTTGTTGTTAAACTTCCCAACACTCTTTCCTTTTGCAGTAAACTTACTAAACTGTAAATTGTAGAGAATTCAAGGAAATTAAATGTTTTAGGCCAAAATATTCAATAAGAAAACAATATTAATCTTGAACTTATTCATGCACCCTGCTACTGATTTTTTATTTTCTTCAATACATGTTTTTTTTTCACTAAACAGTAAATTGTGATCATCTGAAAAACAAATCTCACAATTCAAGATAAAATATCAAATCTGTGACTACAATTGAACTAGAAAACTTCTCTATTTAACCACAACTTTTGCAATTTTCAATTACACACGGTCCATCATATACTGTATTAAAAACGCCCAAAACCTTTAATTTTAAATCCCCAGTATTCCTTTATCACTGTTTTTACAATTGTCTAGCATGCCATTTTTATTTATATTTTTGCTTTGACTGCAGGTGTCACGGCCCCCAGCTCGCGGCTTCACGTGGTCGCACCCGATTGGTGCGACCATGCAGACAGGTTGGAAGACTTACCTGTTCAGCAACGAGCTGGGAGATGACCCACTGGGGCATCCATCCCCTCCACACTCAGGAGCCAAAATAACGCCGACCACAAGGTCGCGGCCGTTTGTAACTCTGCCTCCAAAGGTCACGCAAACATGCATGTGACTTTGCAACGTCAACGCACACGCACGTTCGTGCGTCAGAGGCCAAGCTCTGACCAATCACAGCCCAAGGAGGGCTATTTAAACCCCTGAATTTCCCTAGCTCATTGCCCTGTCATGGTTTCTGTTCCTGGTTCCGGAGAGTGCGTTTTCTTGTTTTTGTTATTGATATTCCCGGTATTCTGACTTTAGCTATTCCTGACTATTCTGATTTCTGGTTTCCCTGACTTGGCTTTCTTATCGATCTGGTGTATTTCTGGCTTCCTTGATCTCGGCTTTCCCTTGACCATTCTCTGTCTTTCAATGTATTAATCCGGCCATTCTAAGGACCGGTTTGCGTTCTGTCTATTTTTCTATTCTATGTAGATGTAACATAGTTTTGCGTGTTGGATCACATTAGTAGTCGTGACAGCAGGATACTAGCTAGGCTATATATATTATAATAATTTCCATTAAACAATTTGCTTGTTAAAAAATTCAGCAAATTTATAATCATCTTAATTTTCTCCTGTGTTTTCAAATTACAACTGTCTTTTTAATTTTTCTAAACTTCAACTGTATTAGTGGCAGATAACTGGCGTGTCATATTTGTCAAAATTATAACCAGGGAAGTAATTAAAATTGTAATTATTAGTGTAATTATTTAACATCTTACATTGTCTCTAGCAATTTACTTTTATTTAAACTATCCTTACAGGACATAATAGCATGCAAAGAAAAAGCTAATAGGTAACTTTGTTACGAGCAAAACATGAAAAAAATCTCATCGTAAGCTATTACTGAATACATTTTGTATTAACTTTTATTCTGCAAAACTGTATAAACTGCTAAACTTCTTCTGAAAAAG